AAAAGAATGTGTATTTTTCTTCTTTGGGATGTAAGGTTCTATATATGTCAGTTAAGTCTCTTTGATTCAGTGTGTCATTCAGCGCCAGAATATGTTTATTAACGTTTTGTTTGGAAGATCTGTCCATTTTTGACAGTGGGGTGTTGAAATCCCCTACTATCAGTGTGTTGCTGTCTATATCTTTTTTGAAGTTGTCCAACAATTACCTTTGAACTTGGGGGCTCCTCTATTGGGAGCATATAAGTTTACAATGTGGATGTCTTCGTGATAGATTCTTCCTTTAAGTATTATAAAGTGCCCCTCTGGGTCTCTCTTTATGGCCTTTGTTTTGAAATCTACTTTGTCTGATACAAGTATGGCAACCCCGGCCTTTTTCTCATGCCCATTTGCTTGCAATATATTTTTCCATCCCTTTAGTTTCAATCTGTGTAGGTCTTTTGCTCTGAGGTGGGTCTCTTGTAGGCAGCATATGTGCGGGTCATGTTTTCTTATCCATTCAGCAACCCTGTGTCTTTTGATTGGTGCAGTTAGTACATTCACATTGAGTGATATTACTGATAGAAACTTACTCATCTTTTCGCTTTGTACCTGTGTTCTTCTCTCTCTCATTCTTTTCCTTCATCTGCTTAAACCAGTCCCCTTAGCATGTCTTGGAGTGCTGGTTTGGTAGAGATGTATTCTTTCAGTATTGTCTGGGAAACTCCGTATTTCTCCTTGTATTTTAATGGAGAGCCTAGCTGGGTAGAGCAGCCTTGGCTGTAGGCCCTTGCTTTTCATGGCTTGGAATATTTGTTGCCATTCCCTTCTGGCTTGTAGTGTTTCTGTTGAGAAGTCAGCTCCTCGCCGTATCGGGGCCCACTTGTATGTTACTTTCTCCTTCTCCCTTGATGCCTTGAGGATTCTCTCTTTTTCTTTGTCATTGGCATTTTAATGATTATGTGTCTTGGAGTGGACCGCTTTGAGTCCCTCTTGAGAGGGGTCCTCTGTGCTTCCTGGATCCATGAGAGCCTTCTCTCCTCAAATTAGGGAAATTTTCCATCATTACTTTTTCAAAGAGGTTCTCTATCCCTTGCTCCTCTTTGTCTCCTTCTGATATTCCTACTATATGGACATTGTTGCGTTTCAGGTTGACCTGCATTTCCCTCAATGCCTCTTCATTCTTTTTGAGTCTTTTTTTCCATTTCGTGTTCTTTCTGGGAGCTTTTTTCTACCTTTTCCTCCATCGCCCTGATTCGATCCTCGGCTTCATCCGGCCTGCTTTGGATTCCTTCTACTGTGTTCTTCAATTCAGAAATGGTATTCTTCATATCCTCTTGTGTCTTCTTGATAGTTTCTATGTCCTTTTCCAGGCTGATATAGTTTGCTGTAAGATCCTGATAGTTTCTCTGCAGTTTCTCATAGTTAGCTTTGAGCTGGCTGAGCTCATTGAGCTTCCTTAGAACCATTGTTTTGAATTCAGTATCTGATAGTTCCCTTGCCTTTATTTCATTTAGCTCTCTCTGTGGGGAGTCCCCTTTTCCTCTCATTTGGGGGGAACTTCTTTTTCTTCCCAGTTTTGTGAGAGTCTGTTAAGTATTTTTGTCCTTTTCTTTTCTTTCTGGGCCGGCCTCTGATGATGTCAGCTGTTGACCCTATAGGACCTTGGGTTGTTTGTTTCAGCCTTCCAGGAGTCTAATGCCTGTGTCTGACTCCTGCTTGGAGCAGCTCTGTGACCCCTTCGGTCAGGGCTGGGCTATTTTTTGGGATCTCTCTGCACTCTCACGTGGGTTCCTTGAGCGCGCTCCCAGCGCGGCAGGATCCCTGCCTGCCTGGGCTCGCATGTGCATGCCCCAGACCAGGGTGCTTATTTGCGACCTCGCGGACTCATCTGGCCCCCCTGGCTCGCGAGCTCCCGGGCACTGGTCAGTTTAGGGTCTTCTCTTGTGTATTTTCCCCGCTTTTGGCTCTTTGGGTGTATTGCTTGCCCTCGCCAAATGGGGACTACGGAAATGGGAGGAAGTCAGCTCCAGGACTCTCCAGTTAATCCTGTCTGTGGTCTCTTCTCCAGGGAGTCTGGGCAGCTCTACTAATTTTGTGGGACACTCTGCAATCGCCGGCGGGCACTCAATTTACGTCTGCCTTTGCCGCTCTGTGCACTCCCTCGAAGGCTGTATCGGTGCCAATGTGTGGAATGCCTTGCCAGCCCGCGCGGGTCACACCACGCTCGCCAACCCTCGCCGGTCACTCGGCGCAAGTGTGCGCGCCTGCACTGCGTGGTTTTGGGGTGTCTATGTGTGCTTTTCGGTTTTTGGCTCTTTGGGGGTGTGGCCTCTTCCCGAGCAATGGAAGCTATGGCAAGGAGAAGGAGTCGGGACTCCCAGGTTCCTCCTCCCGTTCTTTTCCCAATGCCTCCGTTTCTAATATCTCCTCAGGGGTCTCTGGGCAGTTCTGTGACCCCTTCGGCCAAGGATCCACCACCTGTGTGGCCTGTGTTTCAATCGCAGGCAGTCTGGTTCCTGCACACCCCTCTTCTTCCTCTTTGGGGGCGTGCCTTTCCAGCCCACAAAGGAGACTACGGTACGGGGAGGGAGTCGGGACTCCCCGGTTCTTCCTCCCGCTCTTTCCCTAACGCCTCCATCTCCAGTCTCTCCTCAAGGCTCTCCCAGCCAGTCTGCACTCAGCCCTGCAGCTCACATGCGTACAAGCTTCGTGCGGAGCACACAAAAGGCAGTTTAATTGATTCCCTTACGCCTGAGCGAGAAGCTGCAGAGTGGGAGGTGCGTTATTACCCGGGCTCCACCGGCCCCTGCGTCAGTTCTCTTCACAAAGTTTTCCTCACCAGTCTTTTCCCAGGCACCAGCCCACCCGGTTGCCGCCTCTACCCAGAGATCAAGGAGGGTGGCTGCCACTTAAACTTTTGCATTTGCCCTTTAAATGTCTCTTTGCATCCCCAGCCACCTGTCTCTGTCAGAAGGCGCCCCTAAGCTTTTCGGGGTTGCGTTTTGTCTGTATTTTCTTGGTTTTAGCTGCTGTAGTTTAGTGGTGCCTGTTTATGATTCAGACCCCATTCTTCTCGAGGGAAGCTAACTGGCCGTTTCAATGTCCCTCTGGTGCTAGTGCCCGTGGGCACCCAGCCCACCCTCTCAAGCCTCCACCGCACTTCTCACCTGTTTGGATGTGTGAGAGTCGAATCCACTGTCCGCGGCACCAAGGCTCCTCTCCCACTATCATTCCATTGTTTTCCAGGTGATTACTCCCCTATTTAGTCGCAATTCCAGTTTGGTCTTGGGAGGAGGTCAGTGTGACTCCCATTCACTCCTCCGCCATCTTCCGATATAATTTATTTCATGTTTTTTTCCATTCAGGTCACCTGTGTACATGTTTATCTCCTCTATTAACCTAAGTTCCTTGTGAACAGGAACTACATGACCTAGTGAATATTCTCAGAGCATAGCACAGGACACAAAACAATTGCCACAATGCACAATCACGGAGTATATTAAACTTCCCATATATGAGATCTGTCTGGAAAAAGTCCAGCCATTGTTAATATGAAAAGAACGGTTTGCGTGACATCAATGTAACCTGGCAGCCAAGGAGAGTGGACTGGAATGCACATGCTTGAAGAATGATGACTTCGCTATGCTAGTCAGTGGAAGTGGTAGACGCCATTAAGTGAGCATCTGTACTGTGTGCCCATAGCATTCGATATGACTGAGCAAGTAGAGCAATGAACCTGCATCAAATTTTGCATTAAACATGAACATTCCTCCACGGAAATTATTTGGATGATTCAGAAGACTGAAGCTATGGGCAACTGGTGATTGGCAACTTCGCCACAACAACATGCCCACTCATGCATCATGTCTCGTGCAGTTTTTTTGTGAAATATGAAATCACCCAGGTGACTCAGCCTTCCTACAGCCCAGATTTGGAACTCTGAAATTTCTGGCTTTTCCCAAAACTAAAACCAGCTTTGAAAGGGAAGCGATTTCAGATGGTGGATGAGATTCAGGAAAATAAAAAAGGCTGTTGATGGCAATCGGGAGAACTATGTGAAGTCCCAAGGTGCCTACGTTGAAGGGGACAGAGATGTCACTGTCTTCTGTACAATGTTTTTTTGTATTTTATGCCTTCTTCAATAAATGTCTCTATTTTTCATTAAAAAAAGAAAAAAAAAGAAAATGGGCAAAGGATATAAACAGACACTTCTCCAAGGAGGACATATATATCAAAGGATGCCCAGCATCACTAGCCATCAGAGAAATCTAAATTAAAATCACAATGAGATACCACTTCACACTTGTCAGAATGGCCATCATAAACAAATCAACGAACAACAAGTGCTGGTGAGGCTGTGGAGAAGAGGGAACCCTGGTACACTGTTGGTGGGAATGCAGACTGGTGCAACCAATGTGGAAAACAGTGTGGAATTCCCTCAAAAAACTAAAAATGGAACTGATTTTTGACCTGGCAATTCCATTGCTAGGATTATACTCTAAGAATCCTGAAACACCAATTCAAAAGAACCTATGCTCACCAATGTTCACAGCAGCACAATTTACAATAGCCAAGTGCTGGAAACAACCTAAGTGCCCATCAGAAAATGAGCATGGATGGAACTGGAGAGCATTGTGGTAAGGAAAAAAACCAGGTGGTGAAAGACAGATACCACATGATCTCACCAAAAGTGGAACCTAATCAACAAAACAAACAAGCAAGCAAAATATAACCAGAGACATTGAAATAAAGAAAGAACTGACACTAATCAGAGGGGAGTGGATAAGGGGATAATGGAGGAAAGAAGGGAAAGGGTCACCAAGGAAAAATGCATAAAGGATCCACGGACAAAGCCAAAGGGGGGTACAAGTGATAGTGGGAGGTGGAGTGGGTGTGGCGGGGGTGAGTGGTGGAGGGAAAATGGAAGCTGTACTTGAACAACAATTAAAAAATAAGAAGTAGAATGTATTGTAATGAAAAAAGAAAAAAAAAACTACATGACCTTCAAAAGTCATACATACCTCCTGTATGTAATTATTTTTCTCCAAAATAGAAAGAGTAACAGCTGCACATTCCAGTGTAGACAGGCACCTATTTGTTGGTTGCATCCGAATTACATACTGACTAGAAATGCTAGTTTTTAACTGCACCTGAAACCAAAAAAAAAAAAAAAAAAAACAGAAATGAATGTAATTTTTGTATTAAATTAAAAAATATAAAGTCTGTATTTTAAATACTAATTACTTCAAATTCCTTCCAAAATTGGCAGTTTAGAAATATTAAATGTACCAATATTTCTACACATAATATCCTTAAGTTATTGTCAAGCAGTAGAAGAGGATATTTTCACATATATCTGACAAAGAAAATATATTCAGAATGAATACAAATTCCTAAAAATAAAAGTGGATTGACTAATAACCCCCTGTTATTGGGTGAAAGAGTAAATAGACCTCACAATGAAAATATAAGAATGGCAAATATGTATGTGTAAAAGGGCTCAACATGATTTAATGTAAATTAAAATCACAGTAATGTAACATTTCAAAGTCACCAGAACAGTTAAAATCAAAATTACTAAGAGCACCAAATGGGGAGGATATGGAGCAAATGAAACTGTCATACATTGTAGTAGGAGTGAAAATGGTTTAATCACTTTGGAGAATTTATTTTATGGTTTATCCTCCCATTATTTCTTAATATAAACTGACAGGTGTCTGTATGGGTATGGGTGTATATAAACATAGAGACATACACACATGTTTGTGTGCATATACACATTCTCCCTTTTGAGATAAAAAATAGTATACTATATTTTTTATCCATAAAGATAGCATTTTAGCTAAGACAATAACTGAGTTGGTTGTGAGAAAGACAACACAAATTTGAGTGTCAACAATTTGGCTTTTAGTTTCTTATTTTAATTAAATGAAATTCAAGTAATCTTATACTTACAAAGCCATAGTCCTAGTCCACACTCTGATAAGAATCACATTTAAACATGTGTGGATAGATGAGAATTTCAGTTTTTAGTCATAAACTATATAAGCATGGGGATTGAAAGTAGTGGCATCGAAGTATTAACACATGGCACCTTCTTAAAATCAGGTGTTTTCTCTTATTTTCTAGTATCTCTAGAGTCCTGAGTCTCTCATTCCTTTACAGTACACCATTAAAATTCTATCACCCATGGCATCTTGTCCCTCAGTCCTTTCCCTCCTTTGTTTCTCATTCAGTCCCCCAAGGATAATATGGGTCTTCTAATAAAAGTGTTTTTTTGTTCAAATAATTCTCTTCTACAACTTGAAAAGAATAGAAGAGGAGTAAAGAAGAAGGTGAGAGAGGGAGAGAGAAAGAAGGGGAGGGAAAGTGGAAGGGGGAAAGTATAGTGGCTATCATAAAAGATTCACAAGAGAATGTATTTGGTTTTAGAATACATCCTTTAAAGCATACTTGACTAATAATGTTTTAGATATGATCATATTAAAATTATTCTGCATTTCTATCAATAGACAAGATGAAAAATAGATACAGGAAGGAAAAGAGATGGAGAAAAATGATTGAGAAACATGTAAAAATGATAAAAGAAAGCCTATGATTAAATAATTGTAAGAATAATTCATAATGTTAATTATGTAATTACTAATGGCTTAATACTTCATCAGGTCAACTTGTACAGACAACTACTTTTCAACACTCAACTTCAAGTCATCACCTGAGGAATTTATAATAGATATCCGATTACAACAAAACCTTTAGAAAACATGCAAAGTTCACATTAAATTTTGTTTATTGGAATAAGTTTGATGTCTAAATTTCTTATTTCAGGGAGGTATATAAAAACTCAGAATTTGAAATTTAGCATACATTTCACTTCTGAATATCCTACACAAATCATCTAAGAAATATCTAGTAACTGGATATATCAAAAGAGTATATAACTAAGATCTGTCATGTTATTAATATGCATGTTATTAGAATATGCTAATATGATCTTCTCACAGCTGCTTCTTCTCTGCTTAATGTGCTAGTTTACCGTCATCAGATATTTGATTCAATGAGTAAATGAGCAAGTGCAAAAAACAAATGCTGTTGATCCATCTTTTTGAGAATTCACAGGCATCATAACAAATAATTTGTTAGCAATTACCTTATCTTCTTGAATAAAACTTCAAGAAAATCCAAGTCAAAATTATTCAAAGAAAAAATTAACATATAGTTAATAAAACTCTATCTTACTATATAGGAAAAAGATTTATTGAAAGACCAGGATTACTATAACAAACCTGACAATAATTAACCAATTTCAATCAAGTCATTTAGTTTCTCAGCTCCTCCCCTCCTGCAAAAATCAGACACCTTGCCTCCACTGTAGTTGCAGCCAGTCCTTGCAGCAGATCAGCTGAGGGTCAATCCCTCTTAGTAACATGGCAACAGCAATCAAGGCTCTACTACAACAGTGAGGTGCAAGGTGCACAAGTGAGGTGCACCCATCTCCCATCTACTTTGCTGCCATCTTCTTCTATAATTAGTAATTTTAAAAGTCATAAAGCTAATTAAACCTAAAAGTGAAAAAAGAAGTTAAAAAATGTTGAGAGACCTCAATAGTAGTCTCTACTGTGCCACTAGGTGAGTAATCCTTCCTATCCATATGTCTCTCTCTCTCTCTCTCTTTTTTTTTTTTTTTTTTTTTTTTTTTTTGGTGAGAAGGAAAAGGAACTATTTATTCAAAAGTTATACAGGTTTGAATAATGGCTAAATGTCACCCTTAAACCTCAAAATCCCTTCAAAACAATCACCAGCACACACACCATCCTGCCTTCCCCTCTTCCCCCGTTGCCCAGTTAGACCAGTCAGGCCAGTCAGGGGTACCGTCCTTCAAAGAAAAAGAACAGAAATTCGGGGCTTGGCTAGGCAGGCCTCTCGCAGGTCTCAGCACCATCTACCACATAGCCACGATCTCCAGCTCTTAATCCATAACCATGTGGCACCTTCTAATGGCCCACTAGCAAGAGCCCTTTCTCCCCTCTTTCTTCCCGCGTCGTCTTCACACTGTTCCCCAGAGTTGTTCCTTTCTCTCTCCTGCAGGCCTCTGTCTCTTCTTTCTCTGTTACATTCTGTATTTTTTTTTGCATTTTTTAAATTTATTTTTTCAAATACATTTGTCTCTGCCTTCCCCCCACCACTTTCCCTTGCCCCCTCCCTCCTTCCCTCCCTCAGCTCTTCCCCTTTGGTTTTGTCCATGTGTCATGTATGTCTTTTTTTAACTTAAGGTTATGTGTGTATGTACCCCATTTTTATAATATTGGGTTTTCTGCCACTTTCTTACTGATTTATATTTTAGAAAATTACATTATCACATAATTTATATTGCAAATATCTTCTCAAATTGCATTTTCACTCTCCTAATGTTTTTTGATAACCAGAAGGAAGTCCTTACTTTTAATAAAGTATAACTTATCAACCTTTTACTTTAGGGCAACTCTTTTCATATTGTGTTTAAAAAATATTAAACACCAAAGTCACATAAAAGGACGGGTGATAATGGTGCCTGGCAGATGCACAGGATTTAGCATGTGCCTGTCCCCACCAGCCAAACTGGACAATCTCATGGCCTATAGGGTACTGAGTAGAATACACAGAAGGATCTTTCCTCCACAATGAGGAATAAGTGGCCCTAGACTGAGCACTTGAAAAATATTTATATATTTGTACTTGCTTATTTATTCTTACATATCTGCCACCATCATGACAATATGCCAGGGGAAATGAGAAGTGGAATAGAGCAAAATCACATTAGTGACCTAATCAAGGGCCAGTCCCAATTATAACAGTGAGGTCAGCCACGACAAACAGAGCAGCCTATGGGACACCCCGCTAATCCTGTAAGCAATGAACTTATTGTTATATGTTACTAACATTTTTAAAATTTATTTATTTTTTCAAATACATTTGTCTCCTCCTACCCTCTGCAACTTTCCACTACCCCCCTCTCCCCTCCATCAATACTTCCCCACTTTGGCTTTGTCCATGAATCCTTGCTATATGTTCCTTGACCTGCTCCTAACCTTCCTTTTCCCCACCCACCACTCCCTCCTTCCCTCTTGTCTCTGATAGTTTCTTTTCTCTTTTTTGTTTTTCAGTGATGCTGGTCTTATTTTCCATCTATCTTTGTTTTGTTGGTTAGGTTCCGCTTATAGGTGAAATCATATGGTATTTGTCTTTCGCTCCCTGGCTTATTTCACTTAGCATAATGCTCTCTAGTTCCATCCATGCTATTGCGAAGGGTAGTAGTCCCTTTTTCCTTTCTGCTGCATAGTATTCCATTGTGTAAATGTACCATAATTTTTTTTTTTTAGCATGTACAAGTCTGTTGGTTTATTCAGCAGCAAAGCTGGGGAAAGACTTCCTTTAGGAGTGAAGAAAAATGCATTTATGAGGAAGGCATTTTAATACACATAAATGCATACACACACCCACTCATGCACACATACACACAGAAAAAGGAACATACTATGGTTACATAAACAACATATTTTAATTTTTTGGACCTATCTTTCCCATTCCCCCCTTAAAAAAAAAGCATAACATTTTTAAAAAGTTTCACAGAAAACAGCTACATAGGAACAGTTTCTGATACATTCAGTTACACTAACAGTATAATACCTTTCAGTTCAGTAATTTTCCACTAACAAATATTTTTCCTACCTACCACAATCCCCTCCTTGTTCTTCCCTTAAGACAACTAAGGCTCAGCAGAAACACTCATTAGGGTATAAACATTCTTCTTCTTAAAGTTGCTACACATTTTAAAATTTGTGATTCCATTAATGCTCCAATTTTTGATGCCACATTGTACACAGCACTTAGTTACGGAAAAGAGGAAAAAGTAAAGCTAAGGGGGTATATAATATATCTTTAACAATCTATTTTCTGAATCCTTTAGATGCCCAGTTAACCAGGATCATACACAGGTTTTATTCTTTAATGTAGGTGTGTAAAAAGATCTAACGGTCTCATGCATTTTATGTTGACTTCTACATTTTGACTCAACTAAATAAACACTGCAAGACTCATTTACAAGTGTACATACACTGGTTGAGGTATATCTAAAGCTAATCTATGTAGAAAATCAGTGATACTAAAATAC